TCAGACTAAAACTGGTAACTTCTGACAGAGAGAGAACCGTATTTACTCTCTTTTTTGTCCTCTCAATAGTCAGAGAACCGAGTACGGGATCGATTTCCAGTAAAATCTGACTGATTCTGACTATTTCTGACTAGTACGGGATCGCAACTATTATTTACTCACCCCCGTTCGTCACGAACGATACATTTCCAAAGAAAAATGGGAATTGGCGCGATACCGAGTAATCAGTTAAGTTGCCTTTGGCGACTAACCCATTAAAGAAAATGTTTCTTTTTCAACTGTGATCAATTATTTAAATATCGTGGAATATTTAGGTGAAGGTATTTATCCTTTATTTGGTAGTTTCCTTGGTCTTGAAATTGGACAAATGTTTTCGAGAATTTTATGTAGTTCTAGAATATATAATTTGATCTTTGCGCGCGACTTTGCAAATATATGCATTTTTGATTTTCTTAATTTTTGATATTCAGCTTCTTTTTGCATAATTTCGCGAAAAGAATTTTTCGAACAATGAAAAAATCTCACCAAACATTGGGAAAAAAGCGCGAGTATTTAAACCTAAGTCATTTTATAGTATAACCTTTTTTGCTCTCAGAGGAAAAAAAATTAACCAGAATTCCATCACATTTAACATCTTGGCACACATTTTTTGTGAGTTTTGGACGTTATAGTGGTCCAATCTTCCCCATATTTTATATTAAGGTTTTTCTAATAAAAGAGAGAGCACGAACTAAGTTTCATCGAAATCGGATGAAAATTTAATATTTCCGCCCACAAGAGTAGAAGGCGTGGCAATTATGCCATCTTTATCAAATTTCATAATTCCCTATTTCTATGTAAGTAAAACTAGAGCACATATCAAATTTCAGTGAAATTGGTGCAGGTTTACCATTATTTCCACTTGTCGAAACACTGTGCGCCGCCGCAAAAAAATCAGATTCAAATATATTTAATTTTTATCAAACTCTACCGAGTTTTTCTAATTTTTGTACAAAGTTTGAAATTCGGACTTGCATGGTTTTTGTTAGATAGTGGACTATCCTTTCATAAAAATAGTTAACATTAAACAAACAAAAGAAAATCAGCCAAAACTAGTTAAATTACGCGTCCGTACGTATTTTCCCGCTACTGACATAAACACGGCAAAGTACTAAAAATGTTATAGGGAATATTGCTTAAGGACATCAGCACTAAATTGATTTTATTTTTTTTTATGAGCTTGCTTTTATTTTTGTTGTTATCGCTCTTGTGGAGAACCAATTCTGAATTGTAAGCTTGGCGGCATACTGGACAAAATGCAAATGTTTAAAACAAAATCTATGCTTACATGTTGATTGGCAATCCAGTTGCAATTCGTATTCGCAATTCAAATTACTTATTTTTAAGCATTCAAGTTGCACACGCATTTTTTTTTATTTTTTGCTTTAGCAATGATTATATTGTTGAAAAATAGCGGCAACAGTAATAAATTACATTCAAGTTTCCTCTTTGTTGTGCTGTTAGATACATAAATCAAACATATCTATGTGGATATATATAAAACATATATGTGGATATAATTTCATTTTGTTCTCATCTTTCCAAATCAATGCTTAATGGTGTTTTCGTTTCCACCAAAAGACGTCGCATATTTATTGCCGCTTTCGGTTTTCGTGTTCGAGTCTAAAATAAAGGCAAACGGTGGAAAATTTTGCGTTCGACTCTTAAAATGTCCCACTCTTGTAAGGCAAAAAAGACATTTTCTGCCCTTTGAAGCTTTGTCAGGAGCAGTGATCGGACTTCTACCACATTGTGGTAGATCTGCCACTTTTTGAGCATCTACCACATCTACCACTCAAGTAGTAGTTTTAGAGTAGTTTTATTTTTGCTTGACATAATTTTCTTAATTTTAAGAGCAAAAATTGTCCAACACTAAATACTATATGGTAACAAGAATGGTATAATACAAGATTCCGCATTCCCGGCAACGATGTAAAAGTAAACAAAGCCGAATGGGAGGATAAAATTAACTCTAAAATAGTAAGTTTTCTCTAACCTATTTTTCGACAGGAAACGCGGTTAATAAAACGCGGTGTTAAATTGCAAAATATATGATTTATAAAAAGAATTAATAGCGAAAATGTTTGTGTAAGTATTAGCAAATTTAAGTGCATCTAAGGTTTCTGTTTACTTTTACTTGAGAATTGTCAAAATGGGCAAATCCCAATTAACTGTTTCTGGAATGTGCCACATTTGTTCGCTACTTCGTGATGTGATAAAAAGAAAAGCTGGCAGGACTTCGCATGGTTGCAGAAATCTCTTAAAATATGTTCGAAAAATATACTAATATGGAAGGAACTGCTTTACACTGTCAAAGAAAAAAATTGCCAAAACTCAACGCGATTTTTAGCAACTTCAATCTTGCACTTTATTATACTAAAATTAAATTTTGTTTAGTCTAATTAAAAAGTTTGCCATTTTGGTGAAACCTTGTAGAATTTTTTTAATTTTTGTAAAAAGTTTGATCCAAACCCAGAGATCTAACACATTTTTTTTTAAATATACCACATTTTTTTCCAGATTCTACCACAGAATTTTTTTAAAGTCCGATCACTGGTCAGGGGAGATGATTGTCCCTAAAAATCAGATAGTTGCCGAAAACGGTAATATTATGAAATGCCCGAGCTGGACAAGGACAAGAGGCAAAAACATGCCCTTTTACAGGGTTCAGTGTAACATCAAACACATTTTGCAACGCGCAAGGGCAACATTTTTTGGAAGAAACGAAATCACCATAAGATATTTACACAAAGCTGGCTGCAACAGTTGTGTGGAACTAATTAACAACGAAACTGAGTCAAACACAAATCCATAGGCAGATTTCTGAGACTAGTTGTTGTTGCAGCGGCACTACTAAGCCCCGCCTATTTCGGTTTATCCATCAATCATCTTCATCTAGCTCAACTAACGGTAAGCCCAAGAAAAGTAAAATATTCATTCCAAAAATCGCGATTAGAATTTACCAGGGACCGAAAATAAGTTATTTTCAAAAATTTCAGTCGGAAAGTCGGCCTTTTTAACATTTGTACATAGTAATGTGATGCTTGTTAGCCAATATGATTTATTTCTTTTTTACTTTTTTCAAAACAGTCAGCAATTAACCGTTATTTTTTTACCGATATTTTTTCAGTCAAAAGTAAAAGTTAAAACTTTACCTTCCTTTTCTTGGTCAAATATAAGAGTTAAAATTTTACTTTTATTTTTTCGGTCAAAAATAAAAATTAAAAATTTCTCTTATTTTTACGGTCAAATATAAAAGTTAAAATTTTACTTTTTTTTTTTTCTGTGAAAATAGCAGTTTACATATTCACAATACAATATGTTTTAATACAAAATGTACATCCTCTCAATTGCAGTTTTCTATCTTCTGTAAATATATTGAGTTTCTTTAATTTAAGCTTCGATCGATACTATCGATGGTTGTGACTATCGACTATCGAAACTATCGATGGCACGATATTTGACCAAAAAAATAAAAGTCAAGTGTTAATTTTTATTTTTGACCAAAAAAATAAAAGTCAATTTATAACTTTTATTTTTGACTGAAAACATATCGGTGAGAAAATAACGATTATTTTTTGACTTTTTTGAAAAAAAGCGTAACCGTTACAGTCGCTGGAATTTACACTAACTTTGTCGCCTAATGATGAAGGAAAGGTCATGAAATATAATTAACCGACAAAACGGGTTTAAGTATGAATTGTAGACAGCTTTATGAATTATAGACAGAATTTCTGTTTGATGGCAAAAATTTCCTTCTATTTCGTAGTATTACATCCACAGGTTCTTATACTTCTCAGGGGTTCGTCGTTGTTAATTAGATCCACGCAAATGCATATTGCATGAGTGGGTAATTTACAAAATACATGTATGTATATCTTAATTTACTAGTTTCATAAAGACCAATTTTGAACTATTGTTGGTGAATTAAATTAATAGCTCAGTGATGTTTTTTTTAAGTATTTGAATCTTTTCTTCTCGGACTTAATGCAGAGCTATTTGCATTTCTGTTTCGCATTCTACTGGCTCTCATTATACGGGCACAAATGCATACATTTTAAAGCGACTATGGAATCTGCCTGTACAGCCAACGCTCTTATCCACTACCTAACTTAAGCTTATTTTTAGACATATGTGTATATGTTTTTATTATCTTTCTATTATTTCCATTATTTTCAATTCACTTCCTTAAAAACGGAAAATATTCTAAACAAGTAATTTTTAAGCAAAAAACAAACCCGATTTCAATTCTCATAAAATAATTAAAGATGATCGTTAATTTCTTCATGATCCAATGATCCGATTTAAACCAAATTAGTATGGGACCATCTAAGATAAACACCTTACCTTTAAAAAAAATATATATAGAAATCAGTGAACGGATACAAAGTTATGCGGTAACATACATAAAAAAAATAAAAATAAATATAAAAATCACCTCTATTTCGAGTGTCGACTAGTAATAGATAAAGGACTATTATTTGATTATAGATAAACGACTATTATTCGATTATCGATTATCCATGCTATTTTCAATGTCGTTTTCTCTTTCAATAAGTGAGTGTCGCTCATCCCTCTACAAACAAATACTTGTAGAAGGATGAACGACTAAAAAAGTTCACAGACGCTTATTGAACGGGAAATCGACATTCAAAATACCATGGAAAAGCAATAAACGAATAATAGTCGTTTATCAACTACTAGTCGACACTCGAAATAGGGGTAAATATTCCGACGAAAAAAGATTAAAGAAAATAAAAAAGAAGAATTTGGCTTGAGCTTCAGGGATCATACAGTTGCGTTTTTCATACGTCACTTTCAAAAGATGCATAGATCTACATAAATATACACCCGAAGATTTGTTTAAACAAACTGTCACAATATTTTTGGTTTTCTCTTAATTATAGATTTTCCAATTATATGTATATGTAGAGGTGTAAGTATAAATATAAGCACATGTATTACTCGTATATGTATGTATATTTATTCTAATAGAAGCTATGGTACATTATTTACAAGAACTTTTTCAACTAACTTTAAGATAATCAGTGAATAAAATAGCAAGTCATAAATTTTTATATGTAATTAATACATAATAGTTGCGTTGATTGTAGATGGCAACACGCAACAACCGATGCAGTCCTTTAAAATTCTAGATTCTTATTTTTTTTTTAGGCTACCGAGTCAGATTCAGTTTTCGTACCACCAGATTTTAATTCCCGTTCTCTAAAGAACCCACGTTCAGTTTTGCATTCGCGAATAGTCACTGTCTCTAAATTTACTGTAACATCGGTGATCACCACTTTGTCGGATATATTACATTTGCTAGGCAACCAAAAGCGAGGTGGCAGCGCTTTCGGTGAAAGTGGCTCAAGCGCACTTTGTCGCTGATGCTCGTCGGTAGTGTGACCGTTGCGCTTTGGCGAATAGGTACCGTCGTCACCCGTTGCCTTGCTTTGCGCTGCCGAATTGGCATTCTCCGTTTGGCTATCTGCTTGTGATGATGAATCATCATCATCCGCTGCTGAAGCATTATAATGATGCTGCAATGCTGCGTTTTTCTCTGCGGGTGTGGCTTGTTCTGGTCGCGAAGCAGGTGTCTCTGGGGAAAGCGGTTCAGTTTCCGATTTTAACGGAGTTGATATCGAGGTGGCTGTGTCTACACTGACAGCATTCGCACAATGTTGTTTAGGCGGCGGTGGACCATCGGGTGATGTTTTTATAGTGACTCCTATTTTACCCGACTCTTTTAACACTTCTGCTTTGCGTTTAGTGCCCATAGGGGTTACTTCTTTTCGGCTAAGCGGCTGGTCCTCCGAACTGGATGAATTTGAATCAGCTTCAGGAATGAAATTCAATGCAGAATTAGAAGCAGCTGCGGCTGCCACAACTGCAGCAGACATCGATGCCGATGTGGAGGTATAAGTATGACGCTTATGTCCGCCATTTTCTCGATGCGAGTCTGTGTGTGGTGAGCGAGAGCGATTCCGTTCAGATTTCGCTGAGTGATGATGATGGTGATGATTGTGGTCCCGTTTCTTTTCCTTTTCCTTCTCTTTTTCATAATGATAAGAGTGATGGTGATGACTGCTGCTTGTTAATGCAGATGCCGCGGCTGAGGTGGAAGCTTGATTTGTATCCACATCGTCACCGGTGAAAGTGTACTCATCTTCCTCAGATTCAGGTTCGGGGTCCTGCGCTTTTTCTTTGCGTTTACTACCTCGTTTTGATGGAGTATTTGATGATCGGTTGCTCTGTTCGTAAATTTCTATAAGACGTCGATCGAGAATGTTCACTTCTGGCTCCCACGTATTATATCGTTGATTCCAACCCTTCCATTTTACACGATACTCCAGAACACCCTGCAAAAGAAAAAAATACCATATATGTACATAAATACAGTATATCTTTACATATGGGGGTATATACATACATACATATACATAATTAGTTTTAGTAACAAATAACTTATAATTTGAAATTAAAAATTACTTATTCATTAAAAATATATATATTTTTTTTAATAAAAAATTCCGGTTATCGAAATGTCCCATTAACACTGGATAGCCTGGGAAATGGACATACCTTGAAATACGGACAGCGGTCATTCGACCCAACATAAAACTTAAAATTGTAACCCGTTTGTTTTTAAATTTAAAAAATTATAGTTTAAAAACTAAAACCTCCCTATTATAATTGCCATTCGTACAGTCATCAGGTATGTAATTTGAGAATAGAAATCGCTGCATCTTTTAGGCGCATCGATATTACATAGTTACATCCCGACCTAATAAAAGGAAGGTAAAAATAACATACAATTTATATTTTGGTTTTTATTTTATTTTAGTTACAAAAAAACTGTGTATAGATATATACATGTTTGCCAATAGTCAAATGACCTCTATCCCTCTTTTAAGGTAGTTGTACTTAAATAAATTTTATGAATTTAAAAAAAGTCACGAAATACCAATTACTGGCAAAAGAAATATAGACAGTCAACTATGAAAATTTGTAAAGTAAGTGAACCCTGTCCGTATTTCCAGTGTTAAACATTGACCAAATGGGGAGGGTGATCAGGAATTTGAAGATGTGGTTCGTATCGCACGGTGCAACTTCACAAATTAAACATAAGGGTGTGTCGCGATTGATTCTGGATAGGTAGGAGTTTAAGTTTAGAACCGTCCCTGGCCACCAGTTATTTTTGTGCAGAGGATCTATGCATAATTTTTTTTTTTTTTACTTCAGACCTTATCGTCACTAGACACGAATAATGTTTCGACAGCGAAAAAAGACGCATAAAAAAAAATTTTACGTGAAAAGGCGCTTAAGAAAAACTTCGGCGAAGAAAGACGCGTAATCATAGAATAATACTTGGCCAAGGACTGACACTTCAGCATTATTCCCCAAAAACTATTTACGGAATGTGCATACTATTACACCCGCAAACATAGTTGACCGCGAAAATAAGTTTACGCATCCTTTTTCGCCGTCAAATATTTTAAGGCGTCTCTCTTCGCCGTCAACTATGTTAAGTCGTTCTTCGCTGAAGTTTTTTTATGCGCCTTTTTTCGCGGTCAACTTTTGAGCTCGCGCCTTTATTCGTGTCTAGTGACGTTATACTGATTACATATCGATGGCTGAATGGAAGATCGATATCTGAGCAGCCGGTTCAAAAACGCCCTATCTCAGCAAATTTTTCAGAACACCCTATTTCAGGTGAGCCTCCTGACGACAGTCGGGTCCACGTAACCGGAACGACCCAGACTTACATATGTATATCTGGCCAAGGACTGTCACTTCAACAACACTCCCCAAAAACTCTTTGGGGAATTTGTGTGCTGTTACAACAACAACAACAACAACATGCCGGAGATCCAGCATAAACACAACCAATGTCAGCGGAGAATAACTCTTGCCAACCGGCGCTACAAACCAAAATATAAAATTTACCAGCATCGTCAAAAAAATTAAGTAAATCTCGAAAGATTAAGAAAATTATTTATCGGCGGAAGAGGTGTTGTCCCACAAGTGAAGGCACCAACAGCTTTACACCGCCTCCGAAAGTAAGACGGTATTTATGAGAAACTTTTGCAGGGTAGAAATAGGTACATACAATAGGAGGATACAATTGCCTGCCGAGAGGCGAATGCTATTAGAAAAAACTTCGAAGTTGCTGGTTCAAGGAATAGAACCCGGAAATATCGACGGGTAATGCGCACCTCCACTACTTGGTCTAATCTTCAATTGATTTATAGCAACATGAAAATTGCACTTTGTTATATTAAAATTTAATGCGCTGAGACCGTATACTTAGGAAATCTGAGTTAAAAGTTGCAAATTAGTATGCCAATTTATTGAACTTAATTTATTTTTTTTTTGTTTGGGTAGTTTGAATTTCATACTATGAACAATATTTTTATAAAAAATTATCGAAAAGAAATTAGAATAAAAAACTGCCTCTTTTGCGAAAAATTCTCTGTGCCAATACTTTTGTTCGTCACACCTGTTCGCAAATTCGCAAAGAGGAATTGGCGATTTTTTTTTTTCTCGGAAACACGGCACACTACTATTGCGCCTTAAAGTGTATCGAAAAACTTTGGCGTGCAGATATGGCGGTAAATCTAAGGCGCCTGTTACACGATCAATACGGATCGCGATATTTGGATCGTGATCCATATTGATGGATCTAAAAATATTGATGGATCGTGAGTGTGCGCTAAACGTTCAAAATTTATCGCGTCAGTATTCGCATAATTTTTGTTGTTGTTGTTGTTGTTGTTGTTGTAGCAGCATACAAATTCCCCAAAGACTTTTTGGGGTGTGTTGCTGGAGTGACAGTACTTGGCCAGATATAAATCTGGGTCGTTAGGGTTACGTAGACCCGACTGTCGTGGGAACGCATAATTTTTGTGCTGGACGCTTATTATGGCGCAAGAAAATATTTCTATTCCGTACCAATAATTTACAGATAATGCATTCCATAATTCTTTTAAAATTTCTAAGGTTAATTTAACTGCTTTCAATTTGTTTTGAAAGGTCGCGAGAGCGAATACTTTTTCGATGTTCGCATTATGAGAGTACGAAATGTACTGACGAAATGTATGCATCGCGTTTTGAATATGCTACACCTTCAATATTTATTGCGCGATCCGCGATCCGTGATCCGGATTTCAAAATTTCTAGATATTTTGCGATCCGTATCACGATCCATCAATATTTGATGCTACACCTTCAATAAATATCAAGATCCAGGATCGCGATCCAAATATCGCGATCCGTATTGATTTTGTGACAGAGCACTGTCACACGGTCAGTATTTATTGACGTGATCCAAGTATCGCGATATTTATTGACGGCGTAGCATGCAGTATTGATGGATCGTGATCCATATCGCAAAATTTCTAAAAAATTTGAAATCTGGATCGCGGATCGCAATTTTGTCTATAAATATTGAGCGTGTAGAACTTTCAAAACACGACGCATTAATTTCGCATTACATCTTGTATTCTCATAATGTGAACATCGAAAACATATTCGCCATGCTTTGTTGTTGTTGTTGTAGCGGCTACAGCAACCCCGCCCAGATCGGTTGATATCTAAGTCGTTGTCGTCGAGTTCCACTAACGGCAGCCCTAAGAAGCGTGCAGCCTCTACAGGGTCGATCCACAGGGACAACGCCGTTAGGGTTGTCGGGTTTTCCGGGCATGCAAAGAGACGTTTCGAGTCGTAAGGGGTCTCTCCGCATACCGGAGGCTCATTTCGCACATCCGCATTTAGTCTACTCAGGTATGAGTTTAACCTGCTGCAGTAGCCAGAGCGAAGTTGGGCTATTGCTGTTCTTGTCTCCCGAGGCAGATGGAGCTCCGTCGCGTCAATGTCCGGTGTTTGTGTGCCTAGAACGGCATTCACAGGTCTAGTATACATAACTCGAGACTGAGTCCCTGTGAAGGCCGTTCAGAGCCTGTCGGTATGCTGACGGGTCCAGAGGCTGCTTAATGAACCTCTGGACTTCGTCCGTCAGTTCGTATAGATGCCTCCTGACGTGCCTAAGCGAGGGCTCCTCTGAGAGCAGCTGTCTGTTTGGGTGGCAACATCTGTGGCTCCCAACCAGAAACTGCTTGCATGTTGTGCTCCTTAATTGGGAGCATTTTCGCCTCGTCATGGAGGTGGTGTTCATGTGACATCAGGAGGCTGTCCTGAGTGCGGTGTTCTGTGCTACCTGTAGCTTCATCCACTGCGTCCTACTAGTCCCCGGCGACCACACTGGTGCTGCGTAGTTTAAATCCGGCCGGCCCATTGCCTTGTATGTTGCCAGCAACGCACATAGGTAGATTTTCAAGTTTTATGCGGCAAAAAATATTTTATTGCCTCTATCTACTCAAAATTGTTTATCAAATGTAAAATTTAAATAATTTGTATTACAGATAGGTTAAATTAATAAAATATATATATTAGCCAATCATTTACTATTTAAATATATTGACCACCTTTATTTATAAAATGTCTTTACACTATAACCATATCTAGTGGCTACGAAATTGATACTACAAAATACGACCAATATGCATTGGACACCGCCAAATTACTTCGATGGACGGCCAGAGCGTAAGTGTCTTGAATTGGAAGTTCAAACGCCCCATTTAACTAAGACTGATTATCTTTTAGGAAAATATCTTCCTTTCTATGAGCTTTAAAAGACTTTTTCTTAAGTGCTGCTTTGATATAAGGTAGGGTTTTCTTTAGATTTTTCATATTTTCAGCTGAGTAAGCATGAAAGGCAATAGGTGATTTTCTAAGAAATTTAATTTTTCGACCAACGATGTCAAGTTCTCTCCTTGCATGTGATCGTTGAGATATTGGCGAGTTGCTTTTCTTGTGCCTGACGCGCTGATACCACCTGCATTAACCAAAATGTGCCTTAGAATTTAAAACAATACAACTCTTTTTTTATTGTAACTTTCGTACAAGCGTGTAAGGAACCCTCTATCTAACAAAACCGTAACTATCCGCAACTGAATTTTATGTAAGGAACAAACTAATTGTACAAGGTATCATATTCAAAACTGATTTCTAGGCGATCGGACGCGGAAACGTTCCAAAACTGGTTTTGAACACAAAAAAATATTATTTATTTTTGTAGACAATATCCAAACTAAAAAGGGTTCAAACTATACATTTATAATTATTGAAAACCATAAATACCGTTAACGAATATTAATAATCACCAGAAGTGTCAGAATCCATCACAATTACATAACTCAATGGTGTTTAAATTAAAAATATTCACGCTAAAACAGGCGATTACACAAAAGTGAAAAAAAAACTATAATGTGCGTTTCAGATATAGCTAAGTTTCGACCTCACAGCAGGCGCAAAGTGTGGGATGGAGGGGAGGTGGTGGAATTATTGTTTCCCAGCCTATTTTTAAGCAGTGGGAGTGCTTCTTTATGTAGTTATGACAACTATCTAAAACTCAATTATGGCCGGATAATTAGCTAAAATCTATCTATGTGCAACGTTTCTTTGTCTTTGCCTTTGTTGCGGCTCTGTACTTTGTTGACAATAGCGGTTGCGTGCGCAGAGGAGAGCAAGCTGTCAAATGTTACTCCGAGTATTTTGGGGTTATTCACCGTCGGAATTGGTGTATCATCGACGTGAATTCCAAGCGGTAGCCAAACCTCCTTCGTCCAGGTGGTGAACAAGTCGCGGAGGATTTCGCAGGGGAGAGGGCTAGACACTTTGCAGTGAAGAAGCGAGAAATATCGGAGATACCCGTTTACTTTCGAACACAAGTCATCAATTCCATTCCCAGTCGCCATGATCGAGCAATCGTCGGCGTAAGAGACAATCGAGACTCTCTCTGGTGGTTGAGGGATCTATGAAATATAAAAGTTGAACAGTAGCGGTAACACCACCCTGTGAAACCCCCTGTTTTATTTTCCTAAGTTTGCTCGATTTGTCTCTAAACATTACCGGCGAGTGTCGACCACTCAGATAATTTGCCGACCACCGTTTGAGCCTCTGTGGGAGAGAGGAAGCCTCTATATCTTCTAGTAGCGTGGAATGGCTGACAGTGTCAAAAGCCCTTGACAGGTCCAACGCTACTAGAATCGATCTCACAGGGACGTTTTAAATATTATCATGGTTTAGGGTACAAAATGAACAAATAATATACATACATTAGTTTATGTGAATATTATTTTGTTTAAAAGTACTTCTCCCCAGTGAGTTTATTTTCTACAATTTCGTCTTCCTCATACTAGTAGTATAAAATTAGTGCTGCCAACCCCAATAAGAATGATCCAGACCGTTTCCGTGAGAAATGATCGTGACTTTGAGCTGGATAACCTAAGGGATATGCATACATTTATGCCTAAAGGTGCTATGTATGTATGTACGTCAAATTATTCATTCACTTGCCATAACTGTTGGAAAATAAGAGGTATGGGGGATAGGCATGCTACTATAAACATAAGAAATAAATACATACGTACGTAGTGTGTATGGACATACATGTGTACACATGCATGTACGTGACTACTACTTCATAGTTTACTACGTAATAAGAAGGAAAATGTAAAGGATGAAAACAGAACAAATTCAAATAGAGGCGAATAAAGTAAAATTTTAATGAGCATGCATGATCCTTCTACAGCAGATGTTATGGGACGACAAGCAATCGCATTTTTCCCTTTCACTGCCAGCGATGTTACAATTTGTATATGCTTTGTCACCGATTATAAGATTGAAATTGTATTAAATTTGTAATTCATACATTAAATAATTTGCTTACCTTTCTAATGCGTTTTTGTATTATACGTTCTGCCGCGTAAACGCGGTCGTCAGAACTTCCCATGGTGTTATCCAGTTTGACGATTTTTTATTCTCACGCACCAAAATGTTTCACACCGTGAAACTTCACTGGATGAGAAAAGCGCGGGCAATAAATGTAGAAATGTGATGAAAATAAATATTTATGTTTTGTTTTAGTCACATTTGCTTTAAAGCATGCACTAACTATTCATTTCACACTTGCCTGTAAAAAATACGACAAACTTATTGCAAAATGTATCTTTACAATGTTCAACCGAAAGTATCTGCTGCAACCACTTTGAGTTTTACTGGTACAGGAAATATTAAGCGCCAGCGCTCGAAAATCCGCATAAATAAAAATGCAAAACGTCCTTCAACAAATGTATCTGCTGTTTCTCCCTTCTCCGTACACTTAGCCCAGCAACAAACATGGAAAAGTACGCAAACCACAACTCGCTGTCTGTCACACCGCACGACGAATATGAAAAATTCAAACTTTACACAAGTGTAAATTCAAGAACTCACAACACGATGTTGTATTTTCAGTTTTAAGCCGTACCAAAGACGAATTTAGTAATTTTCATTAAATTAATAATTACCGCGATTGAATCTTATTAACAAACACTTTGTTTCCGACGCCAAAATTTCTTCTTTCTTTGACAAAAATGCGAGAACAAATGAAATCGTTGTAATTATTTTACTCGTTATGAATTTGACGGTGATGCCATCTCTCTGTAAATTTGTTAACCAAATAATTAAGGACCACACACAGTGCTCACATATAAGTCTTACGTCTCTGCAGTTAACCCTACGTTTAAATTAAATAATGCTATTGTGACGATTATCTTCGAAACCTTGAGGGATTTCCCAAATATCCTACGGCTCGTAACGCTGGATTGCTAAATAAATGCTCACGATGACCAAATTGCAGTACAATTAACTTTATTGTACAGCAACAATTAACAATACTCGCTAACCCCACGTCTCCATTTTCTACTAAATGTGTCTTAACATCTATCAAATTTCAGTTTTAACTTTGTCCCGTTTTCTTATGTGGGCAACTTGCTGTCTTAACATATCACTTTCGAAATGGCATCAAGCCGATCTGTACCCAAAGTAGATGGCGAGGTAAAATGAAAACTGAGTTGTCAGACTACAAAATGACAGCTGATGGTAAGACAGCGAGTACCTGAGTAGGTTAAATGCGGATGTGCCGAACGAATGTCCGGCATGCGGAGAGACCCCTCACGACTCGAAACATCTCTTCGCATGCCCGGAAAACTCCACAACCCTAACGGCGTCGTCCCTGTGGACCGACCCCATAGAGGCTGCACGCTTCTTGGGGCTGCCGTTAGTGGAACTCGACGACAACGACTGAGATATCAGCCGATCTGGGTGGGGTTGTTCTAGCCGCTACAACAATAACAACAACACAGCGATGGTGAGAAATTCGGCAAGACAGATATGGTTTAACAGTAGAAATTCGCGGTTTCTACTTGACATTTCTGTCTTACCACAGCTTTTTTAACAGAATCTGTAAAAGGTGGCGACGTGGGGTAATACAGTAAAAAACTTTACAATACTCGTTAAAGCAATTACAACGCTTTACTTAACTTGTTAACACAATTAAACTTATAGCTTGCTTATTCGCAGCTCATTTCTCTGTTCACTTTACTTGTAGCTTGCTGACATCTAACTAACTCACTCCGGTGTCTGGCGGTGCCCTTATATACCTGCGCTCGCACTCATGGCAACTCTAGAATGTTCTGAAGTTCATCGCTCATTCTCTTTCTCTCGCTGTTCGCAGCGTTCATCCACTTGCGTTTTCTCATTGTGGAATATTCTACGTCATTCCTCGAATATGCTGCTTATTTCTCGTTGTTCCTTTTGTGTTGCCACAGTATTCGCCACACTGCCCTCCACCTAAGTCTGATCGTCCCGATCAGACACACTTGCCGCTCCAAACGCTGCAAGTCTTTCCAAGTAGACCACTTTCATCTTGGTCCTCGGTCTCCCCATTGTCTGGATTTGATGCACGTCTTTGCTTGGAGGTGAAGCTTTTCTTCTGCTGCGACATGTACAACCACAATGCGTTACTGGACATTGCTTCCGGCTTATCTCCGGGAGTGCACCATCGCACATGGTCGTGCTTCTGCCAGCCACTGGTGGTGACCATACCATGTCTCTTCTCGTGGGCACCCTTTTCGCCAGATCTATGCCGCATCATCTGTCCATGACACCCAGACTCCCGCCTTCGTGCTACACTGCCTTTAGCACATCTTGTTACATCCGGATCCTTACGCTGGAACTTCCGCCGTCGTTCGTATCTCGCTCTTCCGCCGATGCTAATTTCATTGACCGGACATGTATAATCTAAACCTTGGCTTCCGGCTTAACTGCTCGCCTCTGCCGACCAACTTTTTCGGGACACTTCAAAGCGCGCCTACTGCTTCCACAGGTGCTTCCATTTCCGGCCACCGACGTATCACCATTGCAACGTGGTTCAGTGGCTTTCCTCCTGCCGGAAACACTGCCTGACTCGCCATGACCACTTCCTTGTTGCGACCTCTTCTTCACTGAGCTGGCGGAACCGTCACGCTTTTCCTGTATCGGTGAACCACTTCCTTCTCCTGACGAAACCAATTCGTTTCCATCATTGCCAACCTCTGCCCAACTAACCACTTCCGTTTCTGGTGGAATCTTCGGCACTTCCTCTAAGACCAACCGTCTGCTGCAGCACTGGTTGTCGTAACCAACCCTAAGTGGCACTTTCCTGTCGCCATATGTTAGAATCATTCCCTGGAGGTCAATCTTCATGCATTGCCCAAGTAGGAAATCCACGCCGGTGATGACTTCATCCACAATGTATGCAACTATAAACTTCATGTACGAGGCCAACCCGTCGGTTATTACCTCGCATAGTACTAACACTTGGGTTCGCTCACCAGTTGCAGTCTGCAGCTTTGCTCCAGGTAGTGGCTTCACATAAAAAGTAGCCAAATCAAGTCCAATAATGGAATGTAACGCTCCAGTATCCACTGTCTGCACTCGCTCCCGCCCATTTACACATCCACCAATAGTGAGGTTGCTCGCATTCCGGCCAATTTGTGAGACGGAGATTATGGGCCCTTCAACTTCTAGAGCCAGCACGCGGCCCTTCCTGCTGGCTCATTTTAGTTTAACGACTGACTGGAGTTAGATTCGTCTTTCCCAGCCCTGCTTTTACGTACTGCTGGACTGTTGAGCGCACTGGAACTTGCGCTGCAATCGCGGGCGAAGTTGCCTGGCTTTCCACATTTAAACATTTGCCAGATCCATACTTTTTCTTGCCCAGCAGTCGGATTAGCTTCTTCAGCATTTCCTCCACTTCCACTCGATGGGCTGTGTAGGCTGGTCTACTTAGGAGTGCTGCCGTTTCACGTGTCTGAGCGTACGAGACAGTTTCAGCAAATGTTGGCTTTGGATTCGCGTACGTCTCTCGCTTGGTATACACGTCCTGCATTCCGTTGATGAACCCCAACTCTTCGCTCCAGTAACTATACGTGGATTTTTCACTATTTATGCACTATTAGAATATACATTATATTAGTATTATCCAAAATGTTATTGCATTAAAAAATTGCTACTTTATTAGTAGAAACATTTGGTGCCAAAATACCATCTACAATATAATAATATTAATTGATATGATATTTACACTCTAAAACCATTTGGAAATTTAGACAGATTTTATACAGCATATTCCAAAATTTTTTTCACATAGCTTATCAACATAGAGAAATAATATAAAGTATGTAGCCAGTTTGATGTACGCTTATTTCAAAGCAAAATTTGAGTTTCTGGCATTAATCCTTGGTTTTTTTGCCTGATTTCGGCTTAGATCCTCATTGTGTGTACTTTTGCACAAGCGACAAGAATTTATTGGCATGTTTTTTTTATTTTTTACTCAAATCAAAAAACTTCATAATTTCTCTCTCAAATGAGTAAACATGAAAGTCAAATGAAGGAACAAATTATGGTAATAAATTGCCAAATAAGTGTACCGAAATATAATGTCATTGCTAGCTGGGGCACTTTATACTACTTTATTATGCTTATAAATATTTAACAATTATCGCCACTTCCATACCAAGGTGTATTAAACAAGGTGGTGTTGGGGCGACAGCTGAGTTTTTCGCCGTGGAGGCCATTACGTCAAAATGATGTGTTTGTTGTAACTCATACCAATGACAGTATGGACATCAGCGTATAATTTGTTAGTGTAATTTTTTACTTATATACGGCCAACACCACCTTGTTAAATACGCCTTGTTCCATACTTTCCGAAAATTTCAAAGCCTTCTCAAAAGAACAGAAAAAACTGGGATTTGTAGCTGTTTAAATCAATTAATACATTTCACTGTGAGTTATTACATAAACACTGATCGAAGTTACGATTGTTTCATTTTCTTGTTGTCGTTTTTCGATGTATCTTTTTATGGATGGACCTAGTACTGTATACTAGCATGTTTCGAGCACCGGCGAAGTCGATCAGTATCAGCCCGTTGTCAGGGTAAACGATAGTACTCGGCGACTGAGCCTCTCTCCCACCACAAATCTAACACCGAATTTACGCACCATTACATGGCAGCTGTATTGGACGTCACAAGGCCCCAGACATAGCTTGTCTTGCCCCGTCCAACGCATTTCTGGGATGGCGGTGATGCCAGCTTTGTTCTTATGATGACATCAACCAGCCACGCAGAGGCACTTTCCTCATTAAGGGTCCGGATATTTCAGGTGAATGCCCTCAAATCGTAGTATTTGAAACGTTTGCCGTGGTTGTCACCAAAAGGGACAGGGTCATCCGAGGCTTTGTGTCGCGTGTTCACTGGAAGTTGATTTTACGTGGCAGGTCCCAAACCCAGCGCACAAACCATCGCTGGGAGGGGTTGGTTTCTTAACCGAATACACGTTTATACAGCGAGCCGTGAAACTGTAGCTGCATACGCAGAACCACGACTATACCCCAACGCAGAATCACTCTTGCCAACAAGTCGTACTTTGAACTGAGTAAGCAATTCAGAATTAAAGTCCTCTCTCGAAGTACGAAAACCACACTCTATAAGTCACTCACCATGTCCGTGCTCGATTTTGGCGCAAGTGCATGGCCCATGACAACATCTCTCTTGGAGTATTCGAGAGAAAGATTTTGCGGGAGATTTACGGGCATTTACACGATGAGATGTTTGAGCTTTACAACGAAATAGTGCATAGGATTAAAATACAGCGGCTCCGTTGGATTGGTCATGTCGTTCGAGTGGACACCGACGCTCCATCTCTTAAAGTATTCAACTCGGAGCCCGCTGGAGGTAGCATAGGAGAAGGGCGGCCCCACTGCGATGGAAAAACCAAGTGGAGAAGGGCTTGGCTTCACTTGGCATTGGAGTCAGTTGGCACAGAAGAGAAACGACTGGCGCGCTTTGCTGAGCTCGCATAAAATCGCTGGGGTGGTTAGAGCGTCAAAGAAGAAAAAGCAGTGACGTCTATAATGTATTGAGGAATCTTAAATGATAGGACATAATTGGGGTGTTAAGAAACAAAACGGCGAATAAATAAACGAAAACAATACGAAAATGTTTAAATTCGGGCCAAATTTTTAATGAATTGGCAACTGTGGTGAACATTAAGGGCCGTTTGTTCAATGTCTGGTTATCACTACCTCCCAGTTAAGCATCATTATGGACGTTTTCGACAGCAAGCATATAACACATGATCGATAAAACAGTCGTTGTATTTAACCATCTCTTTTACCTCCGGTTTGTTTTAACCGGATATTGAACAAGCGACCCTAAAATGTTCAAAATATCGGTTACGAGGGTCTCCACGTACTTCTTCAGTCTAGACATGCACTCAATCACCTCAACGTAGTTGGGTTGCCCACAACGTGGAATAAGCCATGCTAGAGTTAAATTTCAGGATATGTTTAAGATCTTCCTGAGATCATGCGTTCGATGTATTGAATATCGGAAATTTCGAAGACGAAATAGTCAATTAAAGTCACAGGTCAACAATTTGAAGAAAATGTTTTGATACCGAGATATCGTCATTATCGCTTTGAGTGACAGATTCGCTTTGACAGATAAGATAAATTGTACGAAAATGCACAAAGCATGCCACACATAGACCGCTACGGCTGCAGCGCGAAGCGAAAAGATGGCCGACTCCCACCGTTTTGCGCGCGTTGACAATCAGCCAGTTAAATATTTATTTTGTTTCATCGAATTTCGAGTTTTCATGCAAAAACATAAAACTTAATAACATTGCTTATATTAGGTGTGTTCCACAAGCTTCTTGCAGAAAAAACTTCGTTACATTTGTGTTGAATGTACACTTAAAATATTCTAAAAACCTCTAAGATATTTTATAAGAAAATTGTTTCTACTAGGAATCCAAAATTTTGAATAAAGATAGGCAAAGGATATCCCAAACTTTTTGGCTGCGTTTCTTTATACATTCCGGATAATCCCATTTCACAGCCGGAATAAACAGAATGCGTTTGAAATATACGTTAACATATCTTCAGGAACGTTCTAAAGAATAAGTAAACAAAAAAGTTTATTCCAAACGTTCAGAATGAATAAAGAAATGCAGCCATTGTAAACGAACACTTGAGGCAGACTTAGAATCGACTAGGCGACCCTTAGCGCACTCGGAGGAAGCGTATTCCAACATTTTTTTTATCCGTGACCTATCATTAGAAGAAATATTTAATAAACAGAGTAGTTACAGCGATTTCGAAGGAATAGCGTCTACAAAGCCTTTCACCCAAGAAGAATTAACTGATTTGATAAGGGTTCTAGTACTATCTTAAAAATCTCCAGACTTATTGTCTTTAAGATTAAAAGAAAAAACTTGTTGGCGTCAGTTTCAAGGTATAAAATTATTTGAATTTTTTTAAAAATGTGACCTGGCAATCTGTCGTAAGAGCAGATGAGCTGAAGCAGGTCACTTGCATATAAATGATTGTTTATTTAAATACCATTTTTACTATAATGTATTTCGGTAGTTTTCGTAGTTGGTGTTGCCTTATTGCTAAATTTTCTACAGCTAGATAATGCTGACGCTTTTACTTAGCTATGTTTTTATGGAAGTTTGCATTTGCCTGCCAAAGGGCGTTTATCAGTAACCTCTTTGGTTTATAGTTTTTTCGGACAGGGTGGGAGTAAGATGTATTTTGAAAAGAATTTCCGTCATCCCTTGCGTGGGCGTACGCAGGTACGGGCTAAAGGGGAAGCTTTGTACAATTTTGCTAATAACATATTTGTTGTGAAACGTTACCTGAAAAATCCTATGCAAATCGATGCATCGATGGATGCTCTTCGTTGCATCGAAAATTATCGATGTACATTTCGATGCATCGAATCAAAGAAAAACATCGATGTATTTTTGCCACTGACATCCCTGTGAACGTTCTTTTCAGCTTACTTTTGTTAGTCTGATAAACAGTCATTTACTTAAAAAAGGTAAAATAATTATTATCTTTTAATATTTTCTCTTAGTTTGTACTTGAAATCATCGCTAAAAAAAATTATCGATTTGCAGAAGATTATTGTTTAAATAAACAAGTAATTTTTTTAAATTTTCATGTAAAATTTTAAGATTACCGTTAATTTCTTCATGATCCAATGATCGATCTAAACCAAATTAGTATGGGACCTCCCCTGAGGCACCAGAAAAAGAACTATCGAAATCGGTTAATGTGGTCCAAAGTTATCTGTTAACAAACGTGAAAAAATTATTCCTATGAATTGATAACCTTAGCCTTTTTTTGAAGTCGGTTAAAAATACGAAAATTAATGAGGTAAATTATTATAAATTTTTAATAGCTATATTTTAACATTTCTAATAAAATTTACATTAAATAAAATCTCAGCCCACCTACATTATGCTCTGCGTACGTCAATGATCCCTTGTCAAATTTGGTTTGGAGACAAACCGGTTCCGGCGTTGTGTCATCTTCGGTGTCATTTTTCGTTTAACGGAAATTCGTTCCAAAACAACCACCACTTATAGCGCTCTTACACGATATGTATTTACATATGTAAATGCAATATCGTGTAAGAGCGCTTTTACCACGAATAAATGTATTTTTGTATGTCTGTATGTATGTAATTATAAGTATATACCAGCAAATTTTAGTGCTTACGTTGGGATGAAACTACCCTGCAGGGAAACCGGGGACTAGTGAATCCAATTTCTAGTTCCGTACTAATTTTTTGTCGCCAGAAGCGAACCAGTCCCATAGTAACTAGATCCCCACCAGTCCAAAATCAGCGGAATATGGTACTTTTAAAAAACTATTTTATTTCCCTTTTTCCATTAGAAATGTGTATCTAAGGTGACGAATTTAGAACTGGTTCGAAACTATAGAAAAAGGAATGCAGAACGAACTAGATTTTATCTGTCGAATTTAGAACTAGTTCGGAGCTATCGAAAAAGGGGTGCAGTGGGGGCTTTTTCACTTTACATAGATATGTGTTTGGCGGCTTTTTCGTTCGAATACGCTTCCATACTGCACTTCGCAGGTACTTTTTCATAGCTTGGTAAAACAAAACAAACATTTGTGTTAACATTTTAACATCTTTGGATATTCTGAAATCTAACCAATATAAGCAAGCACCTCTGCGAACTCAGTTACAACGAAAGGTATTAAAACGGACATTTTATACAATCCTTCAAACAAATTTAATTTCAAATTGAATTGAATTGTCGTTTTAGAACTGGCTCGGAACTATAGAATTTAGTACTAGTTCGGAACTATCGAAAGAGGGATGCAGCGGTGGCCATCGCCATGTTAAATCCGCCAGTTGTTTGCATTCAAAAGAGTTTTATCGCGAACCAATACTGGTTCTAAATGTACTAGAAGCGCACCAGTTCAGAACTAGAGATTTTCCCCACGGGGTATGAAAAGAACCAGATAACGGGTACTGAGTGTCTGCTCCATGAGCCGAATCGATGCGGTGTATTAATCGTAGAAACAGGAACTTCTTAACTTAATGTAATTTGTGTACGTCTTCAAAAATTATTATTATTATTTTTTCTTTTATGAAATAATTCTCTTCTCTGAGGATATTTACTACTGGGAGAACTATTTGAAGCAGAAAAATCTGTATTTACATACAGACATGTGTACAAGAAATTTTTGTTCCTGTTTTCTGGAAAACGGCAAATCTAGAGTTACTACATTTTTGAAGAATGTATGCTGTATATAGTATCATAGTATTGAGAGCGGCTCTAGTTTGACACTTTGGCAAATGCGATAAACACAAATCGTGCGCTGATAGTACATAGGTTGAACGAATGACGACTACTCGTATCCCGTCGTCCTCTGCGTTGGTGTCATTGTTTCTCTGTTCCACGTAAATACTCGTATGTTCTTTGGTTTGTACATAAACGTCACTACTGATAGCAAGTAAGAGGGCTTTACGACCAAATTTTTCACACTAAAATGCCAGTACACATTTGAGCAACGCGACGTCGGCAAAGAAAATTTTGAGCGAAAAACGAAAGGAAGAAAAAAATATGTAAAGAAGAAAATTACTACGCAAATAAATATAGTTTGGCGAAATAAAGTTTGTTACAAGTTTAGTTGAAAAGCCAAAACTACTTTTATATAAACATACGCAAACGGAAAAATCGAAAATGAATAAGCTAATAAAAATATATTAGCCTGATACACTCAATGACTGCGTTAGTGTAGTTAAAGTTATGGGTTGACTTGAAAGTGGGACGTGAACTTGCAAACGACATACACACATACCAACAAATAAGTATATTGCGCGGGTGGAGAAAAAAAACACACTAAAAGAATTGAAAGTGAGTCAAACTTAATGGTAGGCATTGCACTTAGAGCCACAAACAATGCAGCGGACGCGGTGCAATTTTGCTGTGTCGTCACAGAGATTGGAAGTCGCCGTTGCCGAAATTTACTGCCAACAATGGAAAAGTAGCAGTCGGAGTATTGAAAGAAAAAAATGTAGTATACTGTGAAAGATCAATCAAACAAACAGTGGATGCAGAAAATCGCCTCTCCTCCCATTATAACTGTGATAATAACAAAAGAGAATACATATAAGTGGAACTGAGATTGATATCAATTGAACAGAAAAAAAGTAGAACGGGGCGGATGAGTAACATATAAACCTGTAGTGTGAAATCAAGTGTACACTAATAAAAAATACTTAATGTTAATAACTAATTAATATATACCAGCAAAGCTTTAAAGAGAGTCTGTGAGGTCAAACAGTGATTACACGGCTTCATGTCCGACTTATGCCAAGAAGGAAGTCCATCGACAACTAAATCATGTATAGCATTTAAGATAAAACAACGTATGTATGTTCAAATGTAAAATTTTTGTATGTAAGAGTTGAGAACAAAATGCAAATAACCGAGATGTTATAGCTACCCTTAGTTTAGTAGTTATTACAGTGCTTTAGAAGTAAACGAAACACCAATTTATTCGCAAAAAAAAAATCGAAATATCAGCAAAAATATATAAACTTTAGTTAAGAATTTAAGTAAGAAAGTTGGCACGAATTTTCGGAAAAATAACGTTTCTCCTAATACAAAAAAACCAAGTTCCGGATGTAATGGAAAATATAACACTTATTATACCTACTAGAAACAAAAAGTTATGTTATTTTTACCCGCGGGACGCGAGTGAAAAAAAACTTTAATAGGTAATAAACAAACAGACTGCACACATTTAATAAAAAATTGTTGAATAATCAAAACTAAATAATTCCTTATAACACCAAATTCACCAGTTCAGATTGATGTCGTTTAGAATAACCTGCAAAAAAATTGAAGAGGTAAAAAATAACTAATGAGTGTGAAAATACTCGTACAATTCTACGGAATAATAGGAATATAAAAAAAATTTTAATTTGTGCATAAAAGTTACATGAAAAAATATTGAAAAATCATATAAAATTATAGTAAAATTTACAAAATAGAAGAATTTATATACATACAAGCATAAAAAACATTAACTTAAGCAAAAAGCTATAATACAAAATTAGGGAATTTAACGTGTAGTTTACGAGTTCATTAAAAATAAGCCAATAAACAATAGCAACCAATATGTTTAAATACAAAATATATAAATCCTAAGTATATAAAAAAAGATTTAATACATGTGAATGCAAAAAAATATCAGTAGCAGACACTTTTGCGTTAATATTACTCGATCATTGTCGCGAAAATTGTAACAGAATGTCAGCAAAAGAAAGTTTGTAAGTACATAATTAAAAGTTAGTAAATCTTAAACGCGTCAAAGTAATTCGTACAAAATATTTATATTCAATTGAAAAAAAATAAATATTTATATTTACAAAACTGGTAACAACATTCGGTTAAAAGCAATTCACCACCGCCGTTTTTTTTCGTTGTCCTACTGCAGACCAATAATTAATCAGGTGCCAGAACGAAGCATACCGACAATCAACTAACCGGGACCATCGAGCGTCATAGCTTAGCATATGGTCATAAGATATTGATTGGCAATAGCACATGCAAATTTCCGTACACCCAAACTACATACATATGTAAACGATTTTGAGATACACAATTTGGTAAATAAAATTGAGAAATAAGCATAAAACCGGTAGCGCAGTGGTGGCAAAGCGGATACTAACGAAAAAAAGCGCAAAGGAGACAGAAAGCACACCAAATAGCAATTGTGATTTAAGTAACAGTGACAGCTGGCAGTAAACAGCCCCCATTGCTCAATTGGCATTAACATCAACATTACAGCATGCAATACTGTTAGTGAACAGCTGTGCGTTTATACATGCAAACATATGTACATATGTGATTAGAATAGATGGTGGAACAGTTGTTTGCGCTGCACTAGTATTATATAGTGTATTATATTTGTGTATAAATCAGTTTTGGCGTTATCAAACATTCAAAGCTCGAGCCCCGAAGTTTTAAGAGCTTTATTAAATACGAATTTAACTTCATAGCGTTTATTCGCACTAACAAACTACTACAGTGCTTTCAAAATTGCACCAAACGCTATTGTATTGTTGTTATGAAAACCTGTTGCTCAAACTAAAAGTGTAAAATCCCGTTAGAAATTAAATAGTCTCCCACCAACAGTCGTGGAAACAGTTCGTTAAAAATTAATAAATAAATATACGAAATTTCAAAACCAAAATAACAAACTAAATAAGTAATATTCGTGTAATGCGTATCCCGGCTTCCCCCGCCAAAAAAATATACTCGCACTACTATCACTTCGCTGTATACTTTTTTCACTACAAAGACTCGCCTATACACATAAAACGAGGTTTAATAGCTGGCTAATTAAATATGTCATATATACCCGATGATGCTAGCAGTATGAGCGACGACGTCTTCGAAGATCCCGAGACAACCCAACGTCGTCTGGAGGAGACTGTACGCCATCGTGTGGACTTCAGTGGCAGCGGTGGCGGCAGCAGTGGTCTCGGTTCCAGTATAGGCGGTAGTAGCGGCAAGGCATGCAGTACTGGTTATCCTGGCTATCGTCCACCGGTGAAAGCTTTGCAGATGTATGCACTTGAAGATGCAGTCTTTCATGATGACGCTTACGAAGACGAATATGAGGATGGTTGGCGTTCCTATCGCTACGATGAAGTGGGCATGTATAGTCAACCGCACCAACAGCCTTTCGATGACACAGTCAATCACAAGGTAAGTTTTATTCGAATTGAGTTTACGAAGAATTTCTCTGCCTGCGGAATGATCAAACTATGTAAATCGTCGCTTTCACACACTTTAGCAGTTATATCAAGGCAAAAAATGTTCAAGAGTCTCTGTAATTGATCTACATTGTTGTGTCATGATCTTACTTTTTATTGCTTGTACTGGCTCCGTAGTCGATTTTTGAAGTGAAACTTCTTTGGTGCTTTTTTTTGTACTCTTCTGCTGCATAGAAGCAGGCTAGAATACAAATACCTTGTTTTTGTGCCATTCTGAGGTACCTCTCGTGGGAAATATTTTGCTATATAAATGCTGTGTTTCTTGATCAAACCATTTTGATTATCTGATACATTTGCCACTTCACTTATGGTAGCTTCTGATAGGTCTCTTAAAGCATAGGCAACGTTGTTCCGGATTAACGCCCCAATTGATCTTGTCAAAATTGTGCCTTGATATACGGCAGTAATGCGGATTTACGAGCCGCGTGGTGGTAAGTTCGAATACCACGGCCAGTAGAATATTCATTTATTTATTTTTTTATTCATTCAATTGTAACTTCTAAATTTTTTTAAAGTTGTTTTTAGTTTTTATTACGCAGCCCTAACCACTCGGCTACCGCGGGTGAAGTAGTTGGCTGCTTCGTTTGCTATAGGTTGGCTCAGGGAGCGTAGAACCAGCGTTGGCAGGTTGACGTTTTTAACGTCGTTTGGGCGTATTTTTGTATCCTGTTGACGTTTGAACGTTATTTGTGTAAAAAATGACGTTTTTTAACTTCCCAGTAATTTTTCTCTGTTACTAAATCTTGTAAGTAGAACTGATTTTCAGTTATTTTCTTAATTAATCTTTACAAGCTTTGTTTTTTGCAGCAGCTGCTTCAAAAAATATTTATTCTTTCGACACAGATGACTTAACCCTTATTTAAGCGCATAAAGAAAATGACACAATTAGTCGCATGGGGTCCCTTATTGAAAATGTAATGAACGTAAAAAGGCTGAAATATTGCTATGTTCCTTCTTAACAGAACGTAATTTAGCATTTTCGACAACAGACCACTTAACCAAATGTTTACAAGAAGAAAAATAATATATATTAAAAATCAACGCGATTCTTTAGCACCTTAAAATTTGCACATTATTGCCCTGGAATTTAATGGGATATCAACCTGCATACTCAAAAAAATTCTAAAAAATCTGAATAAAAAGTTGAAAATCTAGCTGATATTTTGCCAATTTTTTACAATTTTTGCACAAAGTTTGAAATGTGGATTTATATTTTGTTTGTTATATAATGAGCTAGGCTTTTATGGAAAAATAATAAACATTAAATAAACAGCCGAAATCGACGACTTGATCAGCTGATCACGAGTGTGTGTATAAAATGATTTTTATATTAACGAACTCAAACCAGTTTAGAATGAATTTTAAATGTGAGCAAATGACATTTTAATATACCTTACGTACATATGTACCTTTGTATACAATGAAAGTTTAATAAGAACAATTCTTTGTGCATGCAATTGAAAAAGACGTTTTTGGGTAGAAAATGACGTTTTTTCATGCCGAAGACCTGGCAACACTGCGTAGAACACAAAGCAAATGCAAAACTAGCATCGACATCCACTTTGTCGTCGGTCATGCAGTCACCGTATTAATTCAAATAAGTTCTTAAAGCATAGACAGATGGCAGCGTTGATCCGAATGAACTCGTTAATTCGGAATTATCTCGGGGAAATAACAGCAGTCCGCATTAAGTCCTAGAGTCAATTCCCAAAGGGAATTTCGATGACAACACTGACCAAAACTCAGAGAGCGTAGAATATAGAGAATATGCAAATCTAGCATGGACACAAGAATGATAGAATACAAGATTGCTCCGATCAGAGAGGATTTTTGAGAATAACTTTTGTGTGACGTCACACTGGTGCAATTGCGAGGGAGAAATGCCAAAACGTGAGCAAGAATGGAAGAAGAAGAAAAAATGTTGCAAGGAAAACGTAAACAAGTTGCACAAGTATGACGTCATGCAAACAACGATTCTGTCAAACTCGTTAAGAGAGGAATAGCGGTCCGAGATCGGCGCAACCTTTGTATTCTCTCAATCGTGGCATGGACATATACATACCTTTTAACCGGTAGTGCAAACACCATACTAATTCAGATTTGAATACAATTTAGGGCTGGTTGCTCACAGCCTGGTCGACGTTTTCGAGAATTGCACTTTTTTGGTACATTTTGAAAGCCAAAAGTACATTAGTACTACATTGACATTTTTGATACACACTTTGTATACTTGAAATTAGCATTTTTGTGGATAAAAATATAGGTAGAACAATATTACCTCGTAGAGAGTGAAATTGAGATGTAGAAAAAATTATCATAAAAAGTTATTGAACACAAAACTAGCAAAAACGTGCAACTTACGCCATTTTGGCTTTCTGATGTTTAAGGTTTGCCGCCTAATTTTCCTTTTGGTTGCGAATAATTAACAAAAATCGAAAAATCTATCTTAGATTAAAATTGTGCATCCATATTTTCATTTCACTAGTTTTGTTTTGAGCATGTTTTTATCAAATCACACACACTTTGTTTACATTGGAAATTGACGCATGACTGCAATTTGCAGCTCTATCGGGGTGTTAAGCTCTAAAATTCGCACTCTTGCAAATTTTTCGGGTTATTGAATGGATTTTCCAGACAAAAGTATCCATCAGAAAAAATTCTGAGCATTTTCTATCAAAGAAACAAAATATACAGAAAATTTGCAATCTTTGAAACAGCTGATCATTTTCCCAGTTTTAATAGGTGATATAATTGATAAGTTACTATCCGGTTGGAGCATTTTCCCCGCAAAGCATTTTTAACATATGAATGAATACGTATGTATTTTTCTCAAAATTGATACCACATTATAATGCATTCAAAAATAAAAGGATCTCCTCCAAATACCCATCCTTGTTTAAAAAAAAAAAAGTAGATATAGCTATGTGCCTTTAAAACCAACCCATTTTCTTTTCCATTATCCACTGACAATTTCTGCCAAAACATTTCAGCATTTTTATTTATTTTGGAAAATTGAATACTGCAATCATAGTTGACACACACTACTTAAAATAAAAAAAAATCTGGAGATTAATAGTAAAATAACTAAAAACAAACTCAACAAACTTTGTGCCTAATATCTTTACTTTTCTTTCATTGTATACTAGCAATATTTATAAAATGTACAATAAATAATTCAAAAGGCTCTATTTTCTTTTGATTTTCTCATTTGTAAGTTTTCGCAGCTAAAAATTTTTCCAGAATCAATTTTCAGATCTGAATGTCATTTTGGGATCTTGTAATTTCTATAAAAGTAAATATTTTGGACAACTTTTATATAGAGAGTTTTTCTAATTTAAAAACATTTAACTGTGTGTATGCTAATTTAAATGTTGGTACATTTTCGGTTTATTTAGTACATTATTTTTATCATCTGTGCTATATTTTACGCTCTCTGAGTTTTGGTCAGTATTATAATCGAATATTTCCTTGATTCGAGTTAAGTTTGGGAATTAACTCTAGGACTTAATCAACTGGATCAACGCTGCCGTCTATCTATGCTTTTAGTTGCATTACTAGGTATCTTCTTAGTGTTTCATATCTATTATTCGAATTACAACTTTCTTCCATATCTTCTAGCTGACAGCTGCAAAAATTTATATTACATATAGAATAGTCCTGTTCTTGTCGAAGATTTGCCTCATGGCCAGTGCCCCGTGATGGTTGCCACTTTTCTGAACACTGCTTTTCTTGATGTATTAAGCAGATCCAAGGTCTTCGACCTGTTTTGGTCAGTCAGAGTACTCTTGAAATTTTGTATGTCTGTATATCTGACCCCCTGTTTCCCTCCAGTCCAAGCAAATGCAGAAAAATTTCTTTTTGGGTTACTCCAAAGAGAACAATCCAATGTCACCGCTTCGGATTAATACCAAAGGCTCCCCTTCCCAGTTCATCAGCCTTCTCATTGCCTTCAATGTTTCTATGTCCGGCAGCCTAGATCAGAGAGAAGATAGTTGACTGAGACTCTAAGCGGATTTCATTTTGCATTCCTTAACTAGCTTAGGTTTGGTAACCTGATATGCTTTTGCCAATAGCGAAGCCTGGCTGTCAGAAGATATTGCTGCTTTATTTTTGTACGCGACTCTATTCTTCTTCTTCTTGTTTGGTTCTGTTGCTTTCTAAACTAGTTTGGTCGAGGTACAAAAAAGCTCGCCAGTCGCTTCTCTTTTGTGCTGTTGAAAGCGGCTCAGAAATCGACAAATATATGGAGTGTAGACCCTCTTCACGCGGGTATTTGATAAGATTTTGCCTATTATAAATACCTGATCAATGGTGGATTTGCCAGATCTAAAGCCCCGTCAGTTCGTTGACGGTGGGCTTTTCAGTCTTTCGCACAATACACTCGATAAGAACATATAACCTATGGTGCAAATGCTGATCCCGCGGTAGTATTGCGAGGCCACTTTTCTTGTGAATTACATGCATTCATCTGGCCATATTTAGCATAAGAGCTGATGCATGCACCCTCTTAGCTTTCCGCCGCCGTACTTGAATAACTCGGCTGGCGGGCCGACAGCTCCAGAAGCCTTGTAGTTTTTCAGCCGCGTAATCGCTATAAGTACCCCGTCATAGCTAGGCGGTGGGACATCGACTCTATCGTCGTCGACTGGGGGCTCGGGTTCGTCTTCTCCACTACTTTCAAAGCTGTTTCCATTCGATAGGGTGGAAAGGTGTTGCCTTTATAATTTAAGTAGGTTCTGAACATCCGCCACTAGGTTACCATGGGTGTTCCTACAAGAGTTTGCCCTTGTCTTGAAACCTTTAGTAAGTCGCCTAACTCTGTGATACAATTTCTGGGCGTTTTTCCTGTCGGCCAGCATTTTAAACTCTGCGCACTCACGTATTTCGGCCTCTCTCTTCTTATTGCGACAAATACCGTTTCCTTCTTTAGTTCGCTATAACGGTCCAACGTGGCTCGCGTTGCGCCTGATCGCAGCGTGGCCCTATAGGCGGAATTTTTATTCTCTGCAACTTGTTGGCACTCCCCATCAACTTGGTTGCTCGTTTTTCGATCTGGAGACAGCCACGTAGCTTGATGGATATTTTTATGCTTGAACCTAGTACTGCGTACTACTATGTCTCTGGCCCTGGCGAAGTCGATCAGCCTCAGTCCGTTGTCGGATAGTTCATCGTGGAGGCTGAACTTTCCGACTGTGGTTCCAAAGATCCCTTCCTCGCCGTGCTCGTATGTGCGCTCAAAACGCTCATAGAAGAGATCCTTTAACGCCTCGTCCTTCTCTTCCGTTGGGGCATGGGCGCAGATTAGCGAGATGCTGAAGAATCTTGCTTTGATGCGGGATGTACCTAGACATTCGTCCACCGGGGTGAGCGACAACACTCGGCGACGGAGTCTCGCTCCGACCATAAATGCAACACCGAATTCGCGCCCCTTTACATTTCTTGGATGGCGGTGATGTCAGCTTTAGTCTTCTTTATACGTTTCTCGTGGACCAAAAGAAGAGGGTCTCATCCGAGGCATAAATATCCGGACGTAGTAAAAACCTTCTAAATTGGTTCATATTTGAAATGAGTATTGGTAACGCAAAATAAATACTGCAGCAAAAAATATTACTAAGCGATAAACTTTTCACTCAATCTTTCAATTTAATGAAAAGTTCCTGTGTTCCACTCACATTAATGGGGTTTTTTGTTTTGCATTATCAATTTTAGTGAAGAACAAATTTTTCACTATTCGCTGGTTAATTTTAGTGGAATATTTTTTAGTTCCTTATCACTTTTGTATAGTGAGGCTGATGTTTTGCAATTCCCCACTAAACCTCAATAGTAGTAATGAAAAATTGTGGACTATCACTAGCTAGTACTCTAAATTGTAATTTCAATGCACTAATCCCTACTTTCTAGAATTTCATGTAGCATGGGTAATATTTAAACTTTGTTGTATTTGCAGACAATACTACTTGGCGACTCCGGTGTTGGTAAAACTTCTTTCCTAGTAAAGTACAATACGGGTGAATTTCGTTTGGGTTCCTTCTCCGCGACAGTGGGTATCGCACTAACGGTGAGTAACAAAAAATTATATATGAGTTTAAGATATATGACTTAAGCACTGCTGGGAAAATTCATGCCTTTCCTATTGGTTTTGTTTACAAATGTGGTGTAAATTTTGCGAGGGGGCGTGGCACCTCCCATAGGCCTGCAAATTTTTAATCAGCTATAACTTCGGAACCATAAGTCACATGAACTTGAAATTTAGTATGCAGACAAATCTATGGTAGATGCTTATAGTAAGGTATATATAAATAACTTTGTAGGAGGGGGCGTGGCATATCTCATAGTCATAGAATATTTAATCAGCCATAACTGCGGAACCATAAGTTACATACAATTTAAATTTGGCATGCAGACATATCAATGGTAGGTGCTTATAGTAAGGTTTATATAAATGAGTTTGGAAATGGTGACGTGGCACATAATATAGGCGTGGAATTTTTTATCAGCCATAACTTCGGAACCACAAGTCACATGACTCCTTTAATTCCTTTTGATATGCCTTTCGAATTTAAAATACCTCTGTTTCCAGTTTGCTTAGATTTTGCAATGACAATAAACAAGAATGCCTTAAAATAAAACCAGAAACTTTATCGAAACAAATGTATGATGATTATATTGGAAAATGCATTTAATACATACTTTGAAAAATTTGCTGTGAAATCATATTAAAGTTATTATTCGTAGGAAATTAGATTGTATTTCTTCTATTATATAATTTATTGGCGATATTTTGACCTAAATAAAAGCACCAGCAGTGCCAAAAAATTATTATTACATTTCATTCCATAACACCCAAGTTATACAGCTGTCCTACCATATGCTGCTATCACGGCTATAATAAAATTAGAGCAGAGAGTATGACATCTTTACATAAAGTATTTTTCATATTTGCATAACTTAGTTCACGTTAGAGGTAATAATAGACTACATTTTCCAGGTAGCGATTAATGAAAAAAAACATTCTTCTTTGCATAAATAATTTGCACTTGTTATAAACTGTTGTAAATAAATGATAATTACAAAAAAATTCTCTCTTAGAAATCGTTCATTGTTGGGCTAAAATGAACCTTAGAGTTTCAAGAGTAACTCAAATGTATAAAATTCATTCGGGAGCTTGGCGCGACGCGGTGTGGCGCAGACGCAGTCCGCCGCGAAGCTAATGTTTTGAAAGAGCAATAACGTCAACGGATTTTATTCCACTTTTGAAAAGGTAATAATGTCAACTGACTTTATTTCACACCAGTATACGAAATAGTGTCAGTTGCCCTTATTTCCGTTGATTTTGTTTGACCTGTCACCTTAAACGCATAACCTTACCTAAATATATATTTTATTCAAACATGTCAACCTTTTTTAGACGAATACATATTTTACCCGGGCGTTCATATAACGCAAACAAGTAAATATACCTGATTATTAGGCACTAACGTATACCCTTATAATTGCCAATATACATACTTTGTGTGCCTACATGTTAATTTAAATTGAATAGAACTACAAAGTTGTGACAAACTTGTGTAAAGTACAAAACCGCGTATCGCCATTCTGCAAAACTACGTAACTGACATTTGCTGCCAAATATTGGATTTGCTCACACAAGCTCTAGAAAGAAATGAGATTGCTTTATAAAAAAGGGAACCATTTTTAAATATGAGTATTTTTACTCTCTAGAAAATGATTTATGCAAGCTCACATACGCGGTTTTGCATTTTGTTCATAAGCGGGTTTTTTACTTTAAACGACGTTATGTATGTATATGTACTGAAGACTGGTGCCCTGAAAAAGGCTTGTGGATAAACCCACTGAAGTCCACCATTGGTAAGTTGACCAACCGCCCTCCTTTGAGGAGGATTGTCCTCCTCAAAATGTTGTCCTTCTCTGTCCTCCTTTTGAGCAGTGATGTCTTCCTTGTCCTCCTTTTCAAGTTTTATATCAGTGATGAAATTTTCCAAAAATTTCGTTCAGAATATTATTTTTGCTAATCATACACAATCCTTATCAGCCTCATCATGTATCTCAAACGATAGGTCACACGAACGATTCGTCTGCAGGCGACTTCGTCTCCGCTTACAATTTTGTAAGTCGAACGATCGCCTTCGTGTAGACTTTACGTCGATTACGTTGTATTCGTCTGGAACAGCGTTGCTAATTGAAATATTAAGGTATTTTTATATATTTCCTTTACAATTTTATTATTTTTAATTTATTTGGTACACTTTATAGAACATGGGCATCACCGTCAAATGTTATTTACTATTTTTATTATTTTTATTAGTGGGCTCTGGAGTGGCGAGTAGTGCGTCAACGAACGTTGGGATTATACCGAATAGGGGTAGCCTCTTGAATTGCGTATCGTTGCTGTACGCACAACGACTAGTGCTGGCATGTCAGTCGCTGACAAATTATCAGAGGTGGACGTTGCTGCTTGTGATGCCGAAAGCCTTGAAACTCCAAGCGCTGCGCCACTTGGTGCTGCGGTCTTCGACATAGAAGTGATGCAGTCGAGGGTTTTTTCGATCCCCGTCAACCGTGAATGCCGAAAGGGACCCCGCCTGTCATATTTATATTACGAATATAGTTCGAAATCTTCTTTTTGTGCGCCTTTTGAGGTCAGCCCATGTCTGAAGGAAAATAAACAAATCGTATTTTTGGTTATGTTACTAGGATTTTTGCTACCACGTATAAGCTTATCTTCTTCCATTATCCCGTCCCATCGCTTCTGACCCCTGGCTCTGTCAGAACCAAGCACTCTCCTCTTTCCAGATCCGGACTTTGGTCCATCTGTTGAATCAGCACCTCATAAATTATAATTTTTTTTATACTGATTACATTTATTCGGTTTGAAATTTATAAATTTTTTCACCATATTTATTTGTTTTGGCGTGTTTTATTTTTTGTGTTATGTTATGTTATGTTAAGTTGTGTTATGTTGAGTTGCTATGATGTGTTTTATTAAGTTATGTTATGTTATGTTAAGTTATGTTATATTATTCTATGTTATGTTATGTTATGTTATGTTAAGCTATGTTATATTATCTTAGGTTATGTTATATTATGTTATGTTATATTATATTATGTTATGTTATATTGTTATGTTATCTTATGTTATATTGTGTTGTGTTAAGTTATGTAACATAATGCTATATTTTGTTATGTTGTTCAAGATATTTTAGCTCAATTCACTTCAATTAACTCAACTCAACTAAGTTCAGCTCAGCCCACCTCAACTTAAGTGGTATGCGTTGGGTAACCGCTTATACGCAAGCCCATTTAACAGATTCTTATGTGACAAAGCTAAGTATGAATAACTGGGCTATAAGGCTCTTTACACTTTTGTTAAGTGCTTAGCCGAGCTTCTCTTCCAATTTATGATATACGTCTTGATGTTAAAACTCAAATGGAAGGACCTACAATTTTACGCCGCCTCAGAAAGACACGCGAAGCTTTTCCAGCCGAGGAGCGATCGCTGTTAGAAACAACTTTTTTAATTTACATGTTCTGGGACAAGGAATCGAACCCTACCCTAGGTCCTACGAAGTGGTAGAATGCACGTCTAACCCCTCAGGTACAGCGGCCGCCGGTCGCACGTACATGACCATTTTTAAACAAAAAAGAATTAATATCTCAAGCACTGCGTGTTTTTTTTCCATTTCACCTTTGCCGCCCCTATTGAAAACCCCTATATGTATGTACTTGTAATTATAATTCAACATAGCAACATGTTGCTTGCTACATATTCCTTTACCAACATGTTGCTAGTTACATATCTACTTACTTGGCAGACAACATCGGGCTGTACTATCTGTTGGGTGCCGACTGTTGCAGTCTCAATTAAAGACTCCAACGCCGCCACACAGCGTGCGCTGATTTCAGTTTACTGCGCATTTCCGGCCCATACAGACCAAACTGAGTTTCGACAGCGGATTGTTTGTACAGCGATTGTTGCATCGGAAATTAATCGTTGGCCACATTCAACGAAAACAGCATGAGCGTGTGTAAATTTTTTACCTGATACAGCAGAATGAAAATAACAACAAGAAAAAGTGATAAGAACGCCCACTACAATCGAAACAACGCAAGCGCTGCTGTCGACATTGGCCTCGAATTTCAATTCAATTTATTAAAACAGCTGCTGCACTCCGCAGCGGTCAGTCGGTGCATAACACAGGACGAAGCTTAACGTCTTTTGAGATTCGTATTAAACTCAAAGCAGAAACAAAACAGTGGCAAATAAGTGTAAAATCAAATAACGAAACGAACATTTGTTTTCGTTTGTGTTTGCCGCAATTGACTTTGTGGCTCAAAAAATTCTCGAGGTGAAAGCATCAGTGAAATTTGTATTTTTTTTTTTTTAATTTTTCTTTCATTTCATTTATTAGACAGATTTATTAGTGCACAACGGTGATTATGACATAAAAAAACGACCGAGAGTTTATTTATAATTACTAGTTTCAATGGATGTAGGAGATGAAAGTTAAAAACGTAAATAAGTACTTAAAAATAAATAAATAAAAATAACTAAGTAACAATAGCCGTCATCGATTCGCCACTTCGCTGACGACTAATAGATAAATAACAAATCGGTAGCTTAAAATTAGGCATAGATTTTCAGTGACTTGACTTATAACTATAATTTTTGAATGTAAAAAAATATATACATATATGTATGTATGTACATACATATGTAACACATTGGGTCGTATTCCTGTTTTCGTACGAATCGAAAATTTTAAATTTTGCTATTACTTTTCTATACAAAAATTTTAAATTTTCGATTTGTGCGAAAACAAGAATCCGGCGCATTGTGTATGTATATCCATAAATAAATACTTTTAAAAAGTTACAAGTAGCAAAAAAAGCAATAAAAGCTTCAAACTAATTTTGCCTTCAAAAAGTACAATCCTCGCTACGAAACATGTATGTATGTATCAGGGTTGTTGCGAATATTATTCAGAAATAAAAGACCTTTCCGGATAATAAACAAACAAAGAGGACTAAAATAGCTTT